GCTGGAAAGGTACGGTCGTCACAATCATCCCCCAAAGCTAGGATCTAACACTTCCATCACTTACCGCCCGATTTGCACGATACCACTGCTGTACAAGTTTTCCAGCTGACTACTTTACAATGGGCTCCAGCCAGCACTCGACTCACACCACCAAATTGCGGATCAAGCTGGTTCCAGACCAGGCTATTCGACGACCGAGCATTTGTTCACGTTCCACATTCTACGAGAGCGCGCAACAGAGTGGAACCAAAACGTTTGGGTGGCCGCACTTGACTTCAAGAAGGCCTTCGATTCAGCCGAGCCCAACAATATCTGAACAGCACTGCAGGCGCAAGGTGAGGTGTCCGACCAAGATAGATTCCAGAACCCCAACAAATCTACAAAGGGACAAACAGCAACAATGAACACTGACGTCGCTAGCAGACCCTTCGCTCGAGGCACCAAGCAAGGCGATCCGCTGAGCTCTCTACTCGCCAACGCAGTCCTACAATACATTCTCGCCTCGCTGGTCACCTCGTGGCACAATAAGGCCGAGGACATCCAGCTTGAACGTGCCCCCCACAGCGTACTCAGTAGCATGTGCTTCGCCGACGACGTGCTCTTTACCAGTCCAGCGCTCCCACGCCTCACAATGACGCTCAACGACGTTGCCTAGGCGGCGCAATTTCACGGACCCGAGTTGCACCAGAGCAACACCAATATTCTGCAACCTCACACATCGTACTGGGAGGGCGAGCTCGCGCACCGCGCGTGTTCAGAACATGGACATCAACATCCTCCCATACGACGGCAATATTAAGGACCTCGGCCACAAGATCAATTACATATGATTCTGTCTCATCGTTCGTTTCTGAATATGGCTCCGTACCATCCCACCCAGACTTGTATCGACCCCCCATCATCCCTGACAAATAATACAACGCACGCGCTCTCGTATTGAACAATCCTCAATCTCCAAACATCCCCTTTTGCAAATACTGGGGCGAAGTGGGTACGCGCTCGTCGCCGCGCGTGCATGTCGAGATCCTTCAACAACTTAGGATGTCGTGGGACTCGAAACTGAATGCCCCAACACATATAACACGCATTGCTTCACACCAGTTTTTTTGTGTCAAAAATGTCAGCGCGCGCGATTTTGCGAATGCTTCACACAACCATGTGTTTCAAGATTTCCACCATTCGACCAAACGGCCCCCCCCCGCGCGCATGTCGACATCATTCGAACGCCCTTGCGCGTGTGCGGGGGGGGGGCGATCGCTGTCAAATAAGACTGTGCGGGCTACTCGCGCCCGTCGGTCGCGCACGCATTCCAGAAGTCTTCCAAAACCTTTAGCGCCAATGCGTGGACACCATTGTCATCGCCGTGGTTCGCATCGGCGCCGTCGTTGGCCCTGCCGTTGTCATCGTTGGTCACCAACATTCATTGTGCTTGCCGTTGTCGACGTCGTCATAATACAGGGCTTGCCCGAACCACCGACTCGAACTGACATGCCCGCGCGTCATCGCGGCCTGCTAGACGCGCTGGGAAGTCCCCAGCAACCAACGCCACCGCGGCCGCGTCGGTCGTGCCAGACTAGCTGGCCGCTCTGCGCGCGAGCCTGCGCCCGCTAGCGCGGCAGCAGCGGTGCGCCAGCGAGCGCCGAGGAGACATCGCAACCGCCGCTGTATAGGCTTCGCAAACCAAATTGCGGGTAGGTGGGTGGGGTGATTGTGCCAGCAATGGAATTGACAACTCGCTGCGCATCTGCGCCACATAGGTTGCACCACGTGGATTGCGCAACATAGATTCCCCTTCCTTAAAAAGAAACAGGTTCTACCACCCTCCCCCCCCAGGGTTAAATATTCACCTTTCCGTATTTCAATTTACATGTGATCCTGACCCAATGTCCATCCTACCTGTGAATTCAAACTTTCCCAGCTAGGCCGGTATCGCCCCCCTCCACCATCCTCTGGGAAACATACTATTCGCGTGCATTCGTTTATCAAACAACATACGTTCCCAATCATTTCTTGCAAAAGAGCTGGACGAAGTGCACGCGCGCGCGTCGTCGCGCGCATGGCAAAATCCATCCAATAACTTTTGGTTCCGGTATGATTTCAAAATCGAGTGTCCAAAAACATACAAAAACAAATGGTTTCGCAACGCGAGTGTTGAACAAAAAAACTTACGCGCGCGCGCTCTTGCGAAATCATAAGAAAACCATAACTTTTCAACATGTTCACACAATGCTACCAAACGAACTTCGCGCGCGCATGTCACAATCGTTCGAACGTCCTTGCGCGCGTGCCGTCGCGAGAACCCTTTGAAAAGACGAAACGAAGTGCACGCGCGCGCGCGTCGTCGCGCGCGCGTGCCGACATCCTTCAAAAAACCTTCGGTATCGGAAGGATTTCAACATCGAGTGTCAAAACAACACGAAAACCATGGTTTCGCAGCACGGATGTTCAACAAAAGCGTGCGCGCGCGCTCTGGACAATTCTCAAGGAAAACAGCAGTTTTAAACATTTTCACAACATGCTACCAAATGGGCTTCGCGCGCGCATTTCGAACTCGTTCGAACGCCCTTACGCGCGTGCTGGGGTGGCACGATCCGTGTCAACAAATACCATCCGAACCACTCTCGCGCGTCTGCCGCGCGCGCATATCGAATTCCTTCGAACACCTTCATCACCGACGCGAAGACGCCGTCATCGTCGCCGGTGTGATCAGCATCGGCGCCGTCACTGGCTGCTCCGTCGTCGCTGTCAGCATCTCCACCAGCATCGCTACTATCATCATCGCGTCTACCGTTGTCGACGCCGCCATGGAACCACGCCTGCCCAAGTCGCCGACTCGCACTGAAGTGCCCGCTGGGATGTGCCGAGCGGTCAACGCCACCGCGGCTGCGTCGGTCGCGCCAAACTAGTTGGCCGCTGCGCGCGCGTGCTTGGGCTGGCGCGGCTGCAGAGATGCACCAGCCAGCGCCGAACACTCATCGCAATCGCCGCCGCATGAGGTTTGCAGAGCAAGTTGCGGGTGGGTGGGTGGGATGTTTGCGCGAGCAGTGGTGTGGACAACTCACTGCGAACAGAAATTAATTCTCCCGTCTAGGAAAAAATAAGTTCTACCACCCTCCCCCCTGGACTGAAAGACCCTCTTTTTCGCATTGCAATTTACACACGATTCTGCCCCATCGTCCATCCGAGCTGTGAACTCATACCACCCCAGCCAAACCGGTATCGACCCCCCCTCGGTTCCCTTGCAAAACAAAATATGCGCGCACGCTCGTTTATCAAAACGCATACGTGTCCAAGAACCCCTTGCAAAAAAAAAACGGGACGAAATGCACACGCGCACGTCGTCGCGCGGGCATGCCGGAATCCTTCCAAAAACTTTCGGTTTCGGAAGGATTTCAAAATCGAGTTTCCAAAAAACATACAAAACAAAAGGTTTCGAACACGGATGTTCTAAAAACGCTTACGCTCTTGCCAAATCTTAAGAAAACCATCGATTTTCAAGATTTCCAGCAAATACTACCAAACGAACTTCGCGCGCGCGCGCATGTCGAAATCGTTCGAACGCCCTTGCGCGCGTCGTCGCGCACGTATGCCGACACCCTTCAAAAACCTTCGGTTTCGGAAGGACTTCAAAATCGAGCGTCAAAAAAACATACGAGAACACAGGGTTTCGCAACACGGACTTTCAACAAAAGCGTGCGCGCGCGCGCGCTCTTGCGTCGTCGTCATCGTTGTCGTCGTTGTCGCCGTCCTCCCTTCTCCCTCGTCGTCGTCGTCGTGGTCGTCCTCTGTCTTTCCTCGTCGTTGTCGTCATCGTCGTCCTCTTTGGCGTCGTCGTCGTTTTCGTCGTCGTTGTCGCTGTGGTCGTCCTTCCTCTTCCCTCGTCGTTGTCGTCGTCCGTCGTCGGCGTCTCGTCGTCGTCCCCCTATTTCGTCGTCGCCGTCGTCGTCGTCGTCGTCGCCGTCTTCCCTCCTCCCTCGTCGTTGTCGTCGTCGGCGTCGCCGTCCTCCCTCCTTCTTCGTCGTTCGCGTCGTCGCTGTCCTCCTTCCTCCCTCGTCGTCGTCGTCGTTGTCGCCTTCCGTCGTCCTCCCTCCTCCCTCGTCGTCGTCGTCGTCGTCGTCGTCTTCGTTGGCGACGTCGTCGTCGTCGTCGGCGTCGTCTTTGTCGTCGTCGTCGGCGTCGTCGGCGTCGTCGTCGTCCTCTGTCTTTCCTCATCGACGTCGTCGTCGTCGTCGTCGTCGTCGTCGGCAACGTCGTCGTCGACGTCGTCGTCGTCGGTGTCGTCGTCGTCGTCGTCGTCGTCGTCGTCGTCGTCGGCGTCGTCATCGTCGTCGTCGTCGTCGGCGTCGGCGTCGACGTCGTCGGTGTCGACGTCGTCGTCGTCGTCGTCGTCGTCGTCGTCGTTGTCGTCGTCGTCGTCGAAGTCGTCGGAGTCGCAGTGGGTCCGTCTGTTATGTCCAGCATACGGCACGCAAGAATCGCTGTATATTGCTACCGCGCGGCCACTGTATCCTCCTCATCCCTCCTCGTCCTCGTCCTCCCTCCTCGTCCTGTAGCAGGTGCGATCGTACAACTATTATTGGCCCCCCTTACCTGCTATCCAATGCGTTGGTCCCACCCCCAAAGAGAGCCGGAAGTTGGCTAGGGCAAAACAACCTTTATCAGCATCCAAAGGGCCCGCACGATGCAATTCGTGTGGCCAACTCTGATGATTTACGTCAATAATCTCCTTCTGTGTTACGACGTGCGTTGTCGTTCATCCTAACGCCCTTCCCATACACCTCTCTCTCCCCCTCCCTCCTCTTCTCCCACTCCCTTGCCCTACCCTTGCTCTCTCCCCCTCCCCTCCTCTCCCCCTTCTTGCGGCTAACGTCTAATGTAATGCCGCAGCTTATTATCTGTCCTCTGAAAGTGATACCATTTAGTTAGCATTGCGAGAATGAATGGCGCCACTGTTCTAGCGTCGTTATGCTCAGTACTGTGCCTCCTTCGTTTTTGATGTTCGACAATACGACGCCGCTTTGGCGTCCTGTCTCGCAGACTGCTGCGTTACCGTCTTGAGCTAATGGCATCGAGAGGCAATGCATGAAGCGATCGAGACCGAATCTTGCGAGGCTTGTCCGTGACGATTCTATCATTCAGGTGCGTCCCTTCCTTGCGGAGAGCTGAGAACTAGGCCCCGCAAAGCACAGAGTCAACAAAAGGAGGCGTGTGAACGAGACACTTGCCTGGCCCGTCGCAGAAAAATTCCTGCACATCAGTATCGTACACCGCGAGGCCCTGCGCCGACAAACGTCGCGCGCGGAGCCTCGCCCGGCAGCTGGACGCCGCGGATGGGCGCCTCCGAGAACGAGGCTCTCCGCGGCGTGGGTCAAGTGTGCGCAGTCTCAAGGGTCGGGAGCGGCAAAGAGGGGGGTGTCCAAGAGGGGGGGGGGGTGCAGATCATGACGGGCGGCACGTGCGCGGCCCAGCGGGGGGGCCTGGGACGTCATAAGACAAGAAGAGGCGCCATGAGATCCGAGGAAAAATCATGGCCCGCGCCATGATATCCCCCCCCCCGTAGTCATCCCCCCCCTCTTTTCCGCTCCCGAAAGGGAGGGCCCCGGCCCCCCCCTTCGCGGGGCGGGAGCGAGACGAAGGCCCCCCGCACCGCGCCGCAGCGCCGAACGCCCTGGCGCTGCGGCGGGGGGCTCTCGACCCCGACCCTCTGCGCCCCGACGCCGCCAATGCATCCTGGATGCGCCGGGCGCTGCGGCGCGATCTCGGGGTCCCGCCTGCTCTCGCCATCGCTCGGACGTCCCTTCCCTGTGTTTTTTTCGGTTTCGTGCGTGGTCTTTGCGCCAAGTGATCAAGGATGCTCCTCGATGGTCCTCGCCGAGGGAAGAATGCGCACGTCCGAGCGATGCCAAGGGATGCGCCGGGCGCTGCGGCGCGATCTCGGGGCCCCGCCTGCTCCAGCCCCGCGCGGGGCACCTCCCCAGACCTCCGCTGTGCAGGCTTTTTCGGCACGGGGCCCCCCTGAGAGCTCTGGGCCACTTCCCGGGGGCGGTTTTTTTCGCTCCAGATCGTGTTCTGGCGGTCCTAGGGCCTGGCGAGGGCCCTGGAACGCTCAGCACGACTGACAACCTGCGTCTCGATGCGCGGGAGGTCTGGGTCCGGTGAGGGTCCTCAGGGAAACGGGTTCTGAGGGAAGGGGGTCCTGGACCCTGGGACCTTGCCTTGGGACTAGCCCTTCATCCTGAATGTTTTTGTTGAAGTCTTGGGGCCTGATTAGGGAGGGCCCCGAGGGTTTTAAAAACTATAGAATTACCCCAGCAAGGCGCTGTAGTTCCCAGGCCCAGCGGGCCAGAAGATAAGATCACCGCTGACTGGTTCACAGAGTATGTGTATATTCTAGTTCGCGCGCGCGGGGCGGCCCCTCGGGGTCCCCAGACAACAAGTACCCTGGCAGACTCCCAGCAAAGTACCGGCAAATTCCGCTCAAGGATGACGGAGCTCCGGGGGAGCACGAACCACCAATTCGAGCTTTCCGCCCCAAGAGGCTCCCAGGAGGCCTCGAGAGGCCCCCAAGAGGGCCCAGGAGGTCCCCTGGAGGCCCCACGAGGGACCCAAGAGGACCAAAAGCAGGCCCACAAAGAGGCCCCAAGAGGCCCCCAAGATGCCCCAAGAGGCCACGAACGCGTAGGCAAACGCCTGCGATGGTACAATACGGGCCGGCGGAATGAGCGAAGCGACCCGCCGCCCCACCGGGTACGGCGTGTGAGATCCCCGCCTTATGGTCTGCACGAATTCTTTCCCCTCCTGAGGTCCTCCCCGCGGCCTGCTCATTCCGCCGGCCCAGGGGCCCGGGCTGCGGCCGGGGCGCCTTCTTGACCACTTCCGTCCCAAAACGACCCCCGTTCCACGTGCTCGGCTTCCGAGCGCCACCAGCCCTCTCAGACACCTCTCCGGGAGCCCACGGGGCCGGTCTTGGGGGCCTCTCGGGGCTCTTAATTACTGGGCTGATCTTGATCGCCCGTCGGGCCCCAAACGGCCGTCCCAGATGCCTCTCCAGCTCTCGTCGAGTCTCCTACACCAGAGACCCCCCCCCAAAAGCAAAACGCATGGTAAAACACGCAGGGTTCTGACTATTCTGTCCTTATCGGGCTGCTCCTGGCGCCTCTCTTGGAGCGCCCGTGTAAGTCCGAGGGCCCTTGCGGCCATCTGGGAACCTGCGGACGCTCTCTGCGGTCGCCCTGACAGCCTCTCGGGGCCCTCCACGCCCGTCCGGGACTCTTCTTTGGCGCTGTCGCGAGCGGCCTTCGGCGCGCCCAGAGGGGACGTCCCTGGAAGCCCCTTCCGAAGCCCCGAAACTAGGTGGCGATGCTCCCGTCTGCCTCTGTGCCCAGAGATCCGATGTCGTGATTTTTTCAATGCGGGGTCCCCACAAGTCCCGACCCATTCCCCAGGACCGGTTTTTACTCCTGAGTCGTTTTTTGACGGTCCCAGGGCCCGGCGAGGGCCCCCAGAGGCCAAAACATTAGAAAAACCTCCGTCTTGAATTTTTCAATACGTTGGATCTTTGGGTGTATATCCCTCTTCGGCTTCCCCCGCCGTGTTCGCCACCCTTGGAAGCGCCCTCCCCGCCCGTTCTCGGGCGCCCTCTTTGGGGCCCCTCGGGGGGCCCTTCCTGGGCTCTCCAGGTACACTGTCTACATATATGTGGGATTACATTACATACTCACGTAATTGCATGTGTTGCGTACCATAAGTGGGGACCGCCACACGACGGTCGCCGCAGCTCTGCGCGCTGCGTGGTGTCCTCATACGCCTACGGATTGGGGACACGGATTGGTTATTCCTCCTCCGCGACTTCTCGGGCCCCTTCCTGGGCCGCGCTGGACCCCCCCCCCCAAGAGGAAAACTCGGGGCGCCAACAGAAACTGGGGCGACGGCGCCTGCCCCCCTCATGGGGCGTTCAGTGACACTGAATGGGGCCCTGGGGCGCACAAATAGATACCCACACGCATCCCAGGCCCCCTCGAGTCATGAAACAATCACGACGGGAGGTTTTTCCTTATTTTCGGCCTTTGGGGGCCCTTACCGGCCCTCGGGACCGTCAAAAAACGACTCAGGACGAAAAACCGGTCCCGGGGAATGGGTCGAGGCCTCGGGGGGTCGACGTCATGAAAAAATCATGACGTCGGGGGTCTGGGATAACAGGATTCCCCATCATTTCCAATATTTTCTGGGTTTTTGTCTTCCCCCCCCATTCCAATATTTTCCCATATTTTCTGGTGAATCACCGATTAATTGTGTCTGTGTGTTTCTTTCCCTCCTGAAAGATGTGCGTTCCTAGGCAATCGTAAGGATTCCTAAACAAAATGCAGCCGGGGTAAAGGGCGAGGGCACCGCCACGTGCACCTCAATTTTCGGTACAAAGGGATCGTGGCCGTCCGCGGACCCACACATGTAGCCGGCATCGAGGCGATAACACATTTCCTCAATAACTTGTGCGGACGTCTCGGACGAAACGGCTGCCGGACAAGGCGGTCCGCTCCCCTGCCCCCCGGTGGGACTCTTCTGTGGTCCTTGTCCACCTCTATATCAGCACCCTCCAGCGAAACGCGGGACAACGCCTATTTACAGGACCCGTCTTCTCCCAGGACCCGTCAGCATCGCAGCGAACGAAGCGGCCCTGGGCCGCCGCTGGGGCCCCGCGGCGCCCGACGCCAAGCGGCGCTGCTCCGCGCCAGCCCTCACGGGCGGGGCGGCGGCCAGCCCAGGGAGGGCCGCGGGGTTCAGAAAGGAGGAAGAGGGAAGAGGGAGGAGGGAGGGAGGAGGGAGGGGGGAGGGGGGAGGAGGAGGGACGAGGGAGGAGGGAGGGAGGGAGGGAGGGAGGTAGGTAGGTAGGTAGGTGTGCTCCCTTTGAGCTGGCGGCGGAGGCGTCGGACGGCGCCTCTATTTAGCAAAAAACCACGACCCGGAGAGGGTTCGGAAACGACCTTGCTGCGACGGCTCTGGAAAACAAGGCGCCAGCACTGGAGGGGGCGGGGGGGGGTTGGCGAAAACTTTAGCTGTTGCGGGGGCCTAGGCGGAATTCTTGGGTCGGCGCTGGGCCCCCCCCCTTGCGCTCAACACGAGCCCAGGGAGCGGCGCTAACGCTCCGGGGGGGGGCACAGCACCTACTCAGGAAAACCCACCAGCCTCCGGAGGACCTCGCAGCTCCAGCCAACACCTCCGCCCAGAGCCTCGGCCAGAGCGGGGCAGCAGGGGCAACTCAGAGACTCCCTGCAACGTGGGGGGGCCGGACAAGGAACACCTGCCCGGAGCTCGTCCGATCCCCGCTACGGTGTCTGGTCGACGTACCCCGCAGGAACGGGACGGTGACGGGAAGGGGGAAGGGGCCACCCCGAGGGGGAAAAAAGAGGGCCAGCCCGACCCGGCCCGCCTGCCAGGAGCCCACGGGGAGAAGAATGCAGCTCCCGCTGCGCCCCAGGGCATCGCCAGAGCTCCGAGGCGAATCCAGCCGTGGCGACAGAGGGGCCCCAGAACGAGCAGCGGTCTGGATACCGTCCCCCTCCAGAAGCGCCTGGCAGAGGAAGGAGGTGGAGGGTGGGGGGGGGGCGAGATCGGAAGGGGAGAGAAAGCCACCCCAGAAAGGAAGAGAGAGGGAGAGAGGACGGGGCGGAGAGAGAGGCCCATCCTGGCCCGAACCGCTTCGACCGCCGGGGCTTCCGGGCGGGAGGGGGGGGGGGGGGAAGGAGGGAAGGAGAGGGGGTGAGGGGGGGGGGGGCTCTGCAGCGTCGGGCAGAAGGGAGGGAGGGCGGGGGGGGGCGAGACAGGAACGGGAGAGAAAACCACCCCAGAAAGGAAAAGAGAAGGGGAGAGGGCGGGGCGAAAAGGGAGGCTCGCCCCCGACCCGACCCGACTCGACCGCCTGGGCTGCCGGGCGGAGGGGGGGGGGGGGCAAGGGGGGGCGCTGGGGCCGGGGAGGGGGGGGGGGGGGCAAGAGGCAGGCGTTCGCTGCTGCGAACTTGCCCTCAGATCCGCGTGGGCACCACTCCCCCGGAGCGCAGGATCACGACGTCTCACAAGCCAAACCGCCCGGCCGGACCGCCCGGTTAACCGCCGAGAAGCCTCCGGAGGCCCTCCGAAGCTCCCAGGACATCGCGGATGCACCGAGGGCCTCCGAGGGCCTCTGGGGGCCTCCAAAGCCCGGCGGGGACCCGCCGACGACCTCCCAGGGCTCCGGCAGGCCCTCGGGAAACTCGCGGAGGCCCTCGAGAACCGTCGGGAAGCCCTCGAAGGCCCTCGATCCAAACCCAGGAGGAACAGAAAGAAACGAAGCGGGGCACCCGACAGGCTTCGGCCACAGCCTCCGCGCAGGATCGAGACGTCCAAGGCCGCAAGAGGGCGCGGCTCCACGACCGCCTCTTCCGAGAACCCTAGAAGGCCCGGCCCGGAACGGAGGCGGCGGAGGAAGGCCGTCGGTGGACCTCGAAGCGGCGGCGAGACAGACGGCAGCAGCGGCGCCGGCCGCGCCGAACCGCAACGGCACAGACCGCAAAAACAGCGACGACGGCGCGACGGACAGCGACGACGACGATGGAGCGACGGCAGCGACAGCAACAGCGGCAACAACGGCGAGCAGAGGCTCTGCGACCGCCGCCATTCTGCCTTCACTGGCCTGACTGGCCTGGCTCGGGCAGGCCCTCCCCCGGGCAGGCCCGGGCCCGGAGCGGGGGGGGGGGGGCAAGGGCAGGGGGGGGGGAGAGAAAAAGACGGGGGGGGGGGGGGGCGAAGCGGGGGACAAGAGAGACAAGGGCGGGCAAATGGGGGAAGGGCGGAAAGGCCGCGCGGCCTGCGGGGCCCGACCATCTCTCAGGGTGCTGCCGCGGCGCAGCCTGCCCTGCCACTCTGGGCGGCCTGTGCCCTCGGCCCGAACCCGGCCCGCCCGGCCCGACCCCGCAGCGAGGGGGCAGGGGGGCAGACAATCTCGGCCCGGCCCGACCCAACCCGGCCATGCGGAGTGGGAGGGCGGGATGGGGGGAAGGCAGGGCGATGTTTGTTGCGACCGTGGCGCCGCCGATCTGCAGAGGATTCGGGGGGGGGCGCCCGGGGTGGGGGGGGAAAGGGCTAGAGCAAGAGGAGAGGGGCGTGGAGGGGGCGTGGCTCCAGAACGGCTACATGCAACACTCGTGCGTGAATTGTGCCCACGTACAAAAGGTGGTGGGTGGGCGGGGCAAATGTCCCGCACGACCTCTGCCTGCCACTCCTTGGGCGCGCGGGGCCGCGCCCTGGGGGCGCGGGGGGGTGGGGGGGGCGGGGGGGGAGAGGCTCTGCCGAGAGGTCCTGCCGCGGGGCAAGGCTGCCTGCTCAGTCAGACGCCTGGGGCGGCGACCACTCTGCCGGCGGCAACGGCGGCAGGCTTGGAAGCCTCGGCCGACCGCCGGCCGCCCAGGGGGCGGGCGGGTTGCCGTTGTTCCGGGGCGCGGTCCAGGCCTCGACCTGGGCCAAGATCTGGTCCGTGGCGCTGCGCCGGCGGACGCGTGCACGTGGCCCTGCTTGAGTGGCCACGCGTGGGCTGCTCCCTTTTAACGCCCGAATGGCACTCCCTTGCGGTCGGAAGCCTTATTCTTCGGGGCGTGGCACCACTTGCCGGTGGCCATAAGAGGGCTGCCCACCGGGTGGGTGTATGCCCAGTGCAGCACAACCATGGTCTGAAGGAAGATTCCCGTCCGGGAGCCTCCGCAACCGCCTGTCCACGCGGCGCTTGTCCACCTCTGCTGGCGCCAGGGCCTGCGCGCGCTCGAACTCCGGGAACAGCGGGTCGCCTTTCGGGTCGGCGTCGCGGCCCCCCCCCTCCCGGCCCCGAGCTCGCCGGAGGGGCTCGTCGCTGCGCTCGCGGCGGGCAGCAAGAGCCGGGCCCGGGCGTCACTTGCTTGGCCCAGCAGGGTCCGGGCCTGCGCCGGGGGCGCCGCGCCCCCCCCAAGGGAACTGGCTGGGCCGCAGGGCCCGCGCAGGAGCGTCAGCCCCGAGGGCTCCACGGTGGCGACCAAAGCGTGCCCCTTCTGACCGCGCACCGTGCAAGCGAGGGTCGGCATGGCACTGGCTCCGACCCCAGCACGAATGCCCTGCCCAGGTTGACTCCGCGGCCGCCTGGGACCGTCTGCCGGGCAGGCTCGCAGTGCCCGGCGAAGCTCACTGGCTGCAGCGCTGCGCTGGCTGCGGGGGGGGCCTTCTCCGCGCTGGCCTGGGTTCCAGGTGCCCCAGCAGGTCTCGCAATGGGGGGCCTCCGCGAAGACGCCCTGGCCCGCGACGAGCTGCGCGCCCGCGGCTCCGCAGCCCTTGCACTGCGCCGCGAAGGCGCCGTTCTCGAGCGAGAGCGCCTCTCCGCTGGCTGCGGCCTGCTCCTTCGCCTCCAATTCGCTGGGTGTTCCTCGGCCGGAGCTGCGGCGCAGCTCGCGGGCTGCAGCCCTGCGCCGGCTGCGGGGGGGAGGTCTTGCCCGCGTTGACCTGGGCGGTGTTCCAAGTGCCCCGGCAGGCCTCGCAATATAGAAGGTCTTCGCGAAGACGCCGTGGCCCGCGACGAGCTGCGCGCCCGCGGCTCCGCAACCCTTGCACTGCGCCGCGATGGCGCCGTGCTCGAGCGAGGGCTCCTCTCCGCCGGCTGCGGCCTGCCCCTTCGCCTCCAACGAGTACTGCACTGCGTGTTTCTCGGCCGGAGCTGCGGCGAAGCTCGCGGGCTGCAGCCCTGCGCCGGCCGCGGGGGGGAGGTCTTCTCCACGCTGGCCTGGCACTGCGCCGCAAAGGCGCCGCGCTCGAGCGAGGGCTCCTTCCGGCCGGCTGCGTCCAGCTCCTGCGGGAAAGCCTGGTCTTGGTTCTGGCTGGCCGCAGAGCAGGCGCCCGCCCGGGCGGCAGCCTGGGGCCCCCTGTGTGCGTCTAGGCCACTGGCCGAAGCTTCCGGGGGCGAGTCGCTCTGCGTGGCCAGGAAAACGAGGGCAACCTGACCCGGGGGTGGGCCGCCTGCTGCCGCCGCGGCCCTCCAGGACGACTGTTGGGCCGGCTCCATGCGGTTCCATTGGTGTTTCACGGATGTGCTTGTGCTCAAAGGCCGCCGCTGCCCCCAGACTGGCACGCATACTGGGCCTGTGCGCCATCCAAAACTTTAGGACTACATCCTGCTGCGCCTCCACCGGGGTAAGAAAAATAAGGGGGGGGACTGAGCCAGCACTCCGTCGAGAACTTGCCCCTCGCCCCCTGGGGCTCAGAGAAACCCATGGGGCGAGGGCCGGTGGCCCTCTGAGAGCGGTCAGGACAAGCGGTGAGGGACGGTGTGCTGAGTCGACCCCGGGCCCCATCGACCACGCGCAGGCCCGGCCTCTCGGGGCCGTCCGATCCCCCTCCAGGCCCACTCCTTCGAACAGCAGGTCCCAGCCGTGATGACTCGGCTCCGGTTTCTGACACCAAACAGAACCGCTCAAGAAACGCTCAACATCGATCGCCCTCCGGCCGCATCGCCTCGGCACGGACCTGCCGCAGAAGGGGCGGGGGAGGAGGGAGGGAGGGAGGGCAGAGAGGAGGGAGAGGGAGGAGATGGTGAGGGCCCGGCCTGGCCTGGCCCAGCCGATCCCGACCCAGCCCGACCCGGCCCAGAAGGCCAGGGGGGGCGGGAGGGAGGGAGCAGGAGAGGGAGAAGGAGCCGGAGGAGGAGGAGGAGGAGGAGGAGGAGGAGGAGGAGGAGGAGGAGGAGGAGGAGGAGGAGGACAAGCTATGTGCGCTCGCGTCATATCTGACGTCCTACCCCTCCCTCCCATCCCTTACCATGGCGCTGATTTTCTCTATCC